GAATGAAGGTAATGGACTTAATAGCATTGTCATTCTTTCCTGTTTTGTCTTCAGATGTACCAGTCTATTTTCAATCCACGAGAATGAAGCAAGTGTATACCTGTCAACTTGTGTGATAGTTCAAGGGCTTTGTAGCAAATGATACTCCTAGAGTAATGATCCTAAGTACAAATGTCTACAGAAGGTTCAGGCAGATAAGGTACCTAGCTGGGATAAGCCATGGGTAAGACTGTAGTGAGTGGTTGGGACTGTGGTGAACTGGAGAGCATTTACCCCATCTGGGGAGGCAACAGCTACTCGGCCCCAGGTGGTTATGGCCCGAACCAAGTTGTGTATCCTACATTGTCTGCCTGATCTTCCAAATCTTCAAGAGAAGCTGGAGATTTAGATTATTATGTGAAGGTTCCTTATTTTTAAATGTTGGCAGCTAATGCTACTTTAAAAGCAAACAACAGTAACATTGTGTGGGCCAAATAAAACATGTCAATGAGACATATTTAGCCCAAAGATCAACTCGTTGAAAACTTGGACCTCGAGCAGTTTGCATTCTGGAATCTCAAAGCATTAAAATGTTCCTTGTGAGGCATATGGTCTGTCAACAATAGCAAACTACCATCAAACAAGCAAATATCAGATAAATTGGGGAAGTATAAAATGCTTTGTGTTTAGATTTGTTGGTTTGTTGACTTATCATATCTGACTAAAAAGCCTTTAATATATTCATTCAATAAATCAAGAAGAATTTTTTGAGTATCTAATATATGCTAATATAAGTCATGATAAATAAAACTTTTTCTGTAAAGGGACAGATAGCAAATATTTTAGGCTTTAAGGGCCAAACACAACTACTCTATCACAACTACTCAGCTCCGCCATTTGTAGTTAAAAAGCAGCCTTAGACAATACATAAACACATGGGTATGGCTGTGTTCCAATAAAACTTTATTTACAACAGGCAGTCCACATTCGGCCCAAGGGCTATATAGCATGCCTATCTCTGACCTAGAAAATCTAAGCAAATTTGAAGTCTAATGCAACAGTTTTCTTAAGGGAATCTACATGTTTATGCTTTGCCAATTCAGACAAGAAATTAGGGTGATAGTGCTAGGATTTTTAAGTTGTGTTTGTAAGTAGATTACCCCAGATTGATCTCTATTATCATTTAGTATAATACAAATTATCATATTTACCCTATAAACATATAAAACTTGCTATAAACATTGCAAATAATGCTGGTCCAACCGAGCTACTGAAGCTAGTTTGGCAAGACTGTCTGAATACGAATTTCATCTAGGGTAATTTTTCAGAAAGAGAGCCGTTTACATAACAGAACACTGAATAGTTGACTGAGCTAGTTATCTCAATGGAGTGATTCAATTCCTGTTTTGATTGGGTTTGAAACTGATATGAAGAGGCAACATAAAGCTGAACACACCTGCTTGTCCGCTGAGTGCTGAGACTGCTACTTGGAACTTTCAAAAAGATGTTATAAAGAGAACAAGTGAAGCAATAGATTGCCTTTTTCTTTATATTCATTCTCAAAAAAGTAATAGTACGTAGAAGATGCTCAAAATATTTTTTTGCTTTAACACTTCTTTGACCTCGACCGCAGCAACTTCTTACTCAACATGTCTCCAGAGACAAGGGAAACAAAAGCAAAAGTGAACTATTGGGACCTCATCAAGATAAAAGCCTTCTGCACGGCAAAGGAAACAATCAGCAAAACTGAAAGGCACCCAATGGAATGGAGCAGATATTTGCAAATGACATATCAGATAAAGGCTTAGTTTCTAAAATCTATAAAGAACTTATCAAACTCAACACCCCAAAAAACAAAGAATCCAGGGAAGAAATGGGCAAAAGACATGAATGGACACTATTCCAAAGAAGACATTCAGATGGCTAACAGACACATGAAAAAATGCTCAACATCACTCATCAAGGAAATACAAATCAAAACCACAATGAGATACTACCTCACACCAGTCAGAATGGCTAAAATGAACAACTCAGGCAACAACAGATGTTGGCGAGGAGGCAGAGAAAGAGGATCTCTTTTGCACTGCTGGTGGGAATGCACACTGGTGCAGCCACTCTGGAAAACAGTATGTAGGCTCCTCAAAAAATTAAAAATAGAACTATGCTATGACCCAGCAATTGCACTACTAGGTATTTATCCAAGGGCTACAGGTATGCTGTTTCAAAAGGGGCACAAGCGCCCCAATGTTTATAGCAGCACCATCAACAGTAGCCAAAGTATGGTAAGAGTCCAAATGTCCACGGACAGATGAATAGGTAAAGAAGATGTGGTACACACACACACACACACACACACACTCACAATGGAGTGTTGTGTTACTCAGCAATCAAAAAGAATGAAATCTTGCCATTTGCAACAACGTGGATGGAATTAGAGTGTATTATGCTAAGCGAAATTAGTCAGAGGAAGACAAATATCATGACTTCACTTATATGTGAAGTTTAAGATACAAAACAGATGAACATAAGGGAAAGGAAGCAAAAATAACATAAAAACATGGACGGGGACAAAACATAAGAGACTCTTAAATATAGAGAACAAACAGAGTTGCTGGAGGAGTTGTGGGTGGGATCATAGGCTAAATGGGCAAGGGCCGTTAAGGAAGACACTTGTTGGGATGAGCACTGGGTGTTATATGCAAGGGATGAATCACTGGATTCTACTCCTGAACTCATTATTCCATTATATTCTAACTAACTTAGATGTAAATTTAAAAAAATAATGAAACGTTTTTGCTTTATGAATGGAAGGCAACAGACTCTGGCCATGTTAACATCTTTAGACGTGACTTTTATGAAATACTAACTAAAGATGCCTTGTTATTTACATGCCTGTAGATAGTGTGTATTGAGTACCAAAAGCTATTTGTAGCTTCCTTCTCCACCTTCATCTACTGTAGACTCCCTTGCAGGGAAGGGGACCATTTGTTCCAATTCTGGGCAACAAGATATAAACGCAAGTGTCTGGTTGGGGCTTCTGAGAACGTTTCTTCATTCAGTTTGGCCTCTTATCCCTTCCTTCTTCTTCCTGACCTAGTATACAAATGCAACACCCTAGATGTTCAGTGATCATCTTTTAACATGGGACAAAAGTGACAGACCAAGGATGGTGGAATAGAAAGAAGGAGGAAGTCTTGATGATGAGCAGCTTCATTAGTCCTGGACTGACCACCTTGGCTTTTTTACCACATGAGAAGAAATATAGTCCCCAAGGGGTAAAGCCATTGTCTGTCTTGCAATCCGACCGAGTTCTATCTGTCTGGGTGCTACTTAGAGTTTCCTTCTATTCTCATACTCCATCAACATTGCTCAGGAAATGAAGTTTCCCGCACCCAAAGCAGTTGTATTAATTTTCCAACTCTTCATATGCCACTTTGAAAGGTTGGGTTGGGTTAAAGAAAATGTTCTATAACATAGCTTCTATGAATATCAAAGTTATTGTCAACAAATTCTTTCTGAACTTGTTTTAGGTAGCAAACACTTTGTGCCAACAAACTATTCAGAAAGCATTTAATAACATATGAATATGGTCTACTTTTTAGCATTTAGTGGCCCCCAAATCATTATATTTTGTGACATATACATTAGCTAATATTATAAAGCTTGGGTTTTAGGAGCACCCAGTTGCCAAATTTGGGGGCAATTTGGGCATCAAAAAGTTAATGATGGTAGGGGTGCCTAGATGGCTCAGTCAGTTAACCATTTAACTCTGTTTCTTAATGTTTATTTATTTATTTTGAGAGAGAGAGAGAGAGAGAGAGAGAGAGAGAGAGCGAGCAGGGAAGGGACAGAGAGAGGGAGAGAGAATCCCAAGCAAGCTCCATGCTGTCACTGCGGAGTCTGATGCGGGGCTTGAACCTACAAACTGTGAGATCATGACCTGCACTAAACCCAAGAGTCAGATGCTTAACCGACTGAATCACCTGGGTGCCCCAAGTGTCTGTCTCTTGATCTCAGCTCAGATCATGTTCTCACTGTTCGTGAGTTTGAGTCCTGTGTTGGGCTCTATGCTGACAGCATAGAGCTTCCTTGGGATTCTCTTCCTCTCCTTCTCTTGTCTGCCCCTCCCCACTCTTACTCTCCCTCAAAATAAATAAATTAAAAAAGGTAAAAAAAAAAATTAATGATGGCAATGGATTATAACACATTAAATGAAATGTAGAAAAATTTGTGTTCACAGTGATTTAACAGTATGCCAGCTAGTAAATGTAGATGAATATTAGAGTTTGCAACTGCCAACATAAGAATTGTGTCAGGGTACCATCATTAACAGATGCTAAAGCTATTGAGTGAAAGGATGTTGGTGAACAAGATAATCACATGGCTTCAAAGAAGCATCTCAGAGATTAGTTAATAATTCCAAAAGGAAAATGTAGCTTTACCATTGCACGATCTGGTAGACATCATGTTAACCAAGTGGTCAAACTTTGGCATCACCAGTGGTTAGACAATGTGCAGCTTCTTATCTTAGGCAGTAAGAGGTACACAACACCCCCTCTGCAGAATTCTTGTCTGAATCTAAACATAAGGAAATAGGAAAATCCAGCATTTGGGAAAGATTTGTGAGACAACTAGCTCATATTCTTTAAAAAAGTTCAATGTCATGGAAACCACCTGAAGGCAGAGATTTTTCTAGATTAACAGGAGTAAGCAGATAACAATCAAATGCACTGTGTAAATCTGCATTAGAGGAGGAAAAAAACTTGCTTATAAAAGACATTTTTAAGACCATTGGAGAAATTTGAGTATAGACATATATTATATTAAATTGTATTATTGAGTTAATGTTAATTTTCTGATGTGATAGTAGTGGTATTGTGGTTATTTAGTAGAATGTCCTTTTTCGAGAAGATCCATATTTTAGGCATTTAGGGTTTATACAACTTCATCCTACTTTCTTTTTTTTAAAGATTTCATTTTTAAGTAATCTCTACACCCAACATGAGGCTCAATCTTACAATCCCAAGATCAAGAATTGTGTGCTCTACTGAGTAAGTATAGTGTGCGTGCGTGCGTGTGAATGCATGTGCACATGTAGAGGCAATTGTGGCAAAATGTTAATAAGTAGTAAACCTATATAAATGATTTAGAATGTTTATTCAGCTCTTCTTTCAACTTCTTTGGAGGTTTAAAACTTCAAAAAGAGAGAGAGAAAGAGACACAGAGAGAGAAAGTCTTGGATTTCATATTATACCTTGGAATTTTAAGAGTATTATCATGACCAATTGTCATAGTCACCTTCTAGTAGATATTAAAATTGGCTAGCTAGACATCCTAATGCAAGGTCTAGGTGTCAGATAAGGATTATTCAGTAAAAAAATGTTTAGCAGTGCTACAAGCCAAACATTATTTTAGGCAACTGGGATAGTTAAATGAACAAAATAGCAATCTCCTGTTCCCATGGAGCTTATATTCAGGGAAGGTAGTGGTGCAGACAGACAGAAACACAGAAACGATAATAATAAGTAAGTAATAATAATAGGTAAGTAATGAGTAAGTATTAAGTAAGTAAATTGTGTAGTGCTATGAAAAAAATAGTGGAGGAGAGGTGGGGGGGAAGTGGGGAATATTAAAGTGGAGACTTCGATAAATAAGTGAAAGAAGCACAAAGATTAACTGAAGGGACATTGAGATAATGTCCAAATTTTCTACAGTGTTGTAGGATACGCTGGTTTGGTTTCACCTGAAGAGTACTGCAGCTCTTTGGTCACACAAAGCCATGTCAATTGTACTGCAGGCAGAGTAGGCTGAATCCCACCACGGGTGATCACCTGTCCTGGTTTGACTGGGACTAAGGGATTTCCTGAGAATGGGACATTCACTGCTAAAACTGAGACAGTCCTGGGTAAACTGGCATGGTTGGTCACCCTGATATTGGTACTTTCCATTTGTATGACCCTGAGCAAATCATTTAGCTTCCCAGAGTCTTGTATCTATAAATAGGAGATTATACATGTGCTGCAAAATGAATGAGCCTTGAAAATATTATGCTAAGTAAAAGAAGGTAGACACAGACACCATATATTACATGATGATTCTGTTTATATAAAATTTCCAGAATAGGCAAATCTGTAGAGACAGAAGGCAGATTAATGGCTGCCATGGCCTGCAGGGAGGAGGAAATAGGGAATGACCACTAAGGGGTATGAGATTTCTTTTTGAGGTGATGAGAATGTTCTAGCTTTAGATAGTTGTAATTGTATAGCTCTATAAATATACAAAAAAATGACTGAACTGTACATTTTAAGAGGGTAAACTGCATGGCATATGAATTACATATAATAAAGCTGTTATTTAATAAAACACCGTGACACAGAATTACCATATAAACAGCAATTCCACTCTTAGGAATAGGCAGATCTATAGAGACAGAAATAAAATTTGTGTTTACCTAGGGTTGGGGGGAGTGGAGGAAACTGGGAAGTGCTAATGGGATAGAGCTTCTTTTTGGAAGCATGAAAATGTTCTAAAATTGATTGTGGTGACACTTACACATTTCTATCAATATACTAAAAACAATTGAACTGTATACTTTAAATGGGTGGATCAAATTGTATGATATGTGAGTGATACCTCAATAAATCCATTACACAGGCAATACAGTAAAAATAGTTTAGTTTTTTTTTTTTAAAAAGGAGATTATAATACCTGTGTGAGGTCTAAATGAGTCTTTACTCTCATAACACTCATACCCTGTCCCCAAAGTGTGATACTCACACTTTGTATCACACCAAATCATCATTGTGTATGCCTTTTTCTTGACTACTGAGCTGAGAATCTTTGATAACAGAAACTTTCTCATTCACCGAGGGTCAGTTTCCTGGACATTTAGCCTATGCAGCCACACAAGACCCCATACTCAGAATAGCCCTGCATTTGGTTCAATGCTCTGCTGTCACCATCTTGAAATTCTTAATTTCCAAACAAGGTGCAGGCACCCCTCATTTCCGTCTGGCACTGGACCCTACAAATTTTGTAGCTGTACTGAAGCCACCCTGTACCCCCAACACTTAGCATAGTACTGATACTCAGTGGGTGTTCGATAAAGGTGAATTCTTTTTCCGGTCCCAGTACCCTGGGACTTCACTCAGAACAGCACATTGGCCTTCAATACAGATTTATCCAGAGGCTCCTATGTGCCAGGAACTGTGTCAGCACCTGGGGACCCAGTGAGGAGCCAAAGCAGGCAGCACACGGGTAGATGTGCCCACCTCATCACTTATCTCAAAGGGCAGTGACAGCATTTCACTTGCTTGAACTTTTAGTTCTAGAAAAACACATTGCCTTGGGATCTGATTTTGCGAGGCCTGCTTTGTTACAGGTAACAGAAGATTCGGATGAATCAGGATGGGACTTCAGTTCTTTTCTACGGTGTGAATAAAAAGTCAACTCTGCCTTTTTTGATATGCTTGTGGTCTATCACATTATCGTCTAATATTAAGGAGATCTGTCAGCACCATTTAATTCAATTCAGTTTCTATGTACAAAACACATGGCTAGGCACTGCTGTTGATAGGAAGATGGTAGCTGGATCGTTCTCAGCTTGTCACATGAGGTCTTTGGACAATGATTACGGTGAGCTACATCATGGGGAGTCAGTGCAGAACAGCAGTCAAAACTCTGAAATTCCTGACAGACCTGGCTTCTGCTTGCTAGATGGTCTTTATTATGGTGAATTCCAGGGGCAGTTCCCTAATCTCTCTAAACTTCAGTTTTTTTTAATCGGTTAATGCAACCCTGGTATCAAAGGGCTATTGTAAAGATTAAATGAGATAGTGCACGTATGAACTTTGGCGCAGTGTCTGGCACTTAGTAAGAAAGCCACAATAAAAACAAAGCCTCAAACATCCTGTAAAACTGTTGTTTTGCGTTGTAATGGCTAAATAGTACTGTTCCTGGCAAACAGCCACACATCATAAAATAGCTCTGCCGGCAGCTGCTGTTCCTCCAGCAAGAGGAGAAGGCGAACAACTGTAACCAGGATCCACCTAACTCTTTAAACTCAGTGAGGTCCTCTTCTTCCTTCTCTGCCTCGGTGGTGACCCCACACCTGGCTTCCACGCTCCTGGGTGCAGTGTTTATTTGCGGGAAGGATTAGCGAGGGGGCCATAATGTCTGGGCCACTAAGAGGACAGAGTTTGACTTGTTCTGGCATCTTGAGCTTCTTTGGAACCCAGAGCCCATCCCCCCAGCACAGTTTGCTTACGAGGCTCCTAAAAACTTGGGTTCTCTCTCACCATCTCCCCCATCATTGACCAGTCATCAGCAGTGGATGCCACTGGGGAGAAGGGCATGACCCCAGGAAGGCAGCCTTTTTCAGTTGAGGAAGGGCAATTCTTGGAAAGATGTTCATCTGAGAGCTGTCAACCAACTCTCCTAGCAGGTGGGAAAATGGGGCTTCCGTCCTGAAGCAGGGAAATCTACGTAGGCAGCATGCCACAGAATTCAATGGTAGAATTTCTGTTCTAAATCCCAGCCATTTCTAGGACTTCTGGAATGAGGGTGGATGGGGGTAGGATCGAGAATCATGAGATATGCCATCAAATCTCATAGTTGATTATCTGGGAAAATTCACTGAAAACTGCATATATTACAGTTATGAGTATTTAACCAAACGTAGAGTTGATTCAAGCAAAAAATTTCTAAACAGATCTACAAAAAGTACAAAGAAGTCTTTACCATAAGATATTCACCGTTTACAAGTTTGTGTTTGTTTCCTTTTAAAATCTTTATTGTTGTTTAGACATAATGTTCACATAATCAAAAAAACAGCAATAAAAAAGACTTGGATTCTGGAAATTGACGGGACCAGGTTTCATCCCAGCTCTAGGGCTTATACTCTGCATGACTTCTATTTAGTGACCTGTGTAATGAAAATAATATTACCTACCCCACTGGATTAATGAGATAATGTACCTGAGGTACCCAGCACATTCAAATTTCTTTTTTTCTCTTAAGTTCATTTCCTTATTTTTTGGAGAGAGAGAAACAGAGAGAGAGGCAGGGAGAAAGGGAGAGAGAGGATCCCAAGCAGGCTCCCTGCTGTCAGCAGAGAGTACAACATAGGACTTGAACTCACAAACCAGGAGATCATGACCTGAGCTGAAATCAAGAGTCCGATCCCTAACTGATTGAGCCACCCAGGCGCCCCGTCCAGTCTCTTGGTAAACATTTCTTCTCCTTATCCTCCTCTTTCTCATTATTATTATTTATTCTGCATTTCCCTGGGCACAAGAAAAAAATACTAGGTTCTTACTCTCCAACCACTATTCCAATAATCCACATGGATAGTCTATTTTCAAACACTTAGATGTTTTGCTTAGTATTTAATGAAATTCTCATCCTATGATAGGGAAAAGAGAAGAGAAGATAGGCAAAGAGGGAAAGGTTAGGACCTGAGGTCCCTGGATCGGAAAAAACACACATTGTGGAACAATGTTGGGAGGGTTTGACCACAGCAAACCCCCTGGAGCGTAAGGCTCCTCTTAAGAATGGAACAGACACTACCTACTCCCCCTCAGGTTCCTTTTAGGAATTTGACAATCAAAATACCTAACTAAAGTATGGTAAACTTATGTTTATGAGAGACAGTATGACCATATTCTAACTCCTCACACAGTGGAGTCAAGCCAATCAGGAGTGGACAACCCAGCACCTAGAGTTATCAAGCTGATAACAATAGAATCTGAGAAGAATTGGGGGAAGGAGAGGCAGACCAACACCCTATAAAACAAAGACTGTTGCCTATAGTTGGGGGCATTCGAGAGCTTTCATACTATTCTTACTTTCTAATCTTATACTCTAATAAACTTTTGCCTGCTGCTCATTTTATTCTGTGTCTACCTCTTCATTCTTCAAAGCTGCGAGACATTGAATCCTGGGTATTGAGATTAAAAAATCATGCAACAATCCTATATCCATTTTATGATGTTCCCACCTCTGGTACTAATTTGACAATAAAGTGAGTCTGTTTGTTAACAAATTTTAATGTCATTTAAAAAATATGTTCAGGGATGCCTGGGTGGTTGAGTCGGTTAAGTGTCTGGCTCTTGATTTCAGCTCAGGTAATGATCTCATGGTTTGTACAGTCAAGCTTCATGTTGGGCTCTGCACTGACAGTGGGGAGGAGCCTGCTTGGGATTTACTCTTTTTCTCTTTCTCTGCCCCTCTACTGCTCACACACTCTCTCACTCTCAATATAAAAATAAATAAATAAATATGGTTACTAGGAAATCTTCTCTATAACTGAGCACAATTCTGTGGGGTGTTGTATCTCTTAACACTGAGTAAATAGTGGGGAGATTTAAGCCACTTGGCCCACTCACTAGCGAAAGTGTTTTCAAAGATCATCCCTGTTTCATTTCCCCAGTAAGTATAAACTATGTCAGCTGAGAAGATCATAGCCCTCTTTGGGAATGTCCTTGAAATCCTATATATGGCCAGGATTAACCAACTCTAAAGCCAACACTCACTGTTTGAGAGGCACACTGTAAAATATAAATGAATTAAAAACAGATCTTATCTAAAAGGAGTTGAAAATTTTACAAGGGAGATAAGATACGTATATAAAGAAATTAATACAACATAGAAAGCAGTAAATGTCCATTATGGACTCAGTGTTTGTGTTGCCCAAAAACTCATATGTTGAAATCCTGACCCCCAATTTGATGATATTAGGAGGTGGGTCTTTGAGAGATGATCCAGTCATGAGGATGGAGCTCTCATGAAAGGGATTAGTGGTTAATAAAAGGGACCCCAAAGAGCTCTCCCACTCCTTCTGCCATTTGAAGACACAGTGAGAAGGTGGCCATCTATGACCAGGAAGCAGCCTCACCAGACTGTGAATCTATTGGCATCTTGATCTTGAACTTCCCAGCCTCCAGAATCATGAGAAATAAAATTTTGTTATTTAAGTCACCCAGTACATGGTGTTTTTACCAGCCTGAATGAATGAACTAAGACAGTGTCACAAGAAAAATACAGAAACACACACACACACACACACACACACACACACACAGCTGGAAGAGTACACATGATCACTTCCCTCTGAGATCTACTGCTTTTTATGACACTGTCAGTAGATCTTCCAGTAGGCACTAGAAATGGAGATCTTCCAGTAGGCACTAGAAACCAGCCCTCCAGAGACTGTCAGCTGTAGCTGCAGGCAGAGACCTGACCTTCATCACAAGCTGGAATTTGAATGACATCGTCAAGGAAAACAGAAAAGAGGGTCAAGGACAGATCTTTGAATATATTTAATCTGTCTGCTATGCCTTTTCCTAAATGCTTTCTGACAGATTATTTTTCTCTACCCAGGAAACTCACATTTTGAACTTTAGTTCCTAAAATACATTAAATCACACCGTGGAGGGGCAGGAGGGGATGCACATAATGATTACTTGTGCAGTTTGCTTCTCATCTGAGGAAATTATCTTTTCAAAATGATCAGGTGCTCCTGATCCTGTTAAAAAGAGTGTAGGTATTTTTGAGCTAAGTTAGGAAGTGTGTAGGATAATTGTCATCACTCACAGGATCTACTTCTAGCCCAGTGTTGGAATCGCAGGAGCCCGTAGAATTTCTCTTTTCCCTGGAGAGGAAGAAAAAGATACCTTTTACTCTTTCCCTGCTCATGCCAACCTTTTACTCTTTCCCTGCTCATGCCACGAAAGCTACCTAATATCTAAGTAGATCACAAATTGGTAGCTTCTCTCCTGGATCAATGGTCACAACCTAGCTATACTACTGGGTAGAAATATACCTCAAAGAATAGCCAGCATTTCCCCCCAGGAAGTTTCTAGAATTTTGTTTGAGTCAATTATTTCAAGAATAAAGGAGCAGCAGTTCTAATCTCTCTTATTCAGATACTAGTTGTCAACATCATGGAACTTTGTAGAAGCAGTTAAATGTCTGTAAGTGACCCTCATGGTCACCATGGCAAACACGTATTGACTGCTTAGTTTTTATCAGACACTGGGTTAAGGCCGTTTATCCATTATTCATTTAATCACCGTAAAAATCTCATAACTTTTGTTTATGGGTCTTATGGATGCAGAAATTGAGGCTTGGTGAACAAAATTCATGTTCCTAACCACTGCCAGATTATTCCTGCTTTACTCTGGGGTAGGACCCATCTGCAGACCTCCATGTGGCCATAATCAGCCTGTGGACCTGGGCCATCCATTCAAGCGGCCAGTGGTAAACACCCTTAGATCTACCAAGGTACACTGTAACTCTGCTTACCTAAGCACTCTTCTACTTGGCTCTGAACTCTGTCTGTCTGGGTCTAAATGTCCTCACTTTCATGAACTTCAAACATTGCTGGCCTCCCTGTACCTACAGAGGTTGGGGCATAGCTAAAGAAACAGGGACCTGGATTAACTGCACCCCTGAAGTGAGGCCAG